TGCGACTCTCTGTCAGGGGGAATTTTTTCCCCTTAACGATCCTTTCGTACGGGTCGACCAATGATAAACGGGCATCTGAAATTTAACACGCCATTCCCGGCGTTCTCGAATCGCCGTGCTTCTTTCCCCACTCTTTCGCCGTCGGGATAGCCGTAAGTGACGGTCACTGCCTTCCTGATTCGATCAATGAATGTACACCTTCAGCAGAACCGACTAGGTTAGGCGTCCACCCCTCGTTTTAGATTCGACAAACTGATTTTCCAGCCGTGTTTTCCAATACTAGCGATGATCTGTACCGATTGGTAACAACGATGGAATAAAACCCTGATAATAATCAGTTGTGCGCAAGTTTCGAGCAGATTGCCAGCAAATAATGCGAAAATTTGTTTTAAAAAAAGACCACACCCTACATAGTAGCAATCACTGGTGGCATTTTGATGGGCCTTTGATGCACTATTGGTTGTCCAACAGTTAGAATTGTCACCCTTTTTTGCAATTGGGCCAACAATCATACTCAACGTAGGGCTACGTCACTATACTGCGAAGGGCCAACTGGAGGTTTCTTTTTGTTTGGCCAATTATTGAGTATCTACAATAAACCAACAATAGGTAGAGTATAACACTGGAAATAATATTTATAATAATTACTTGTTATAATTATATACATGTAACATTGTACATGTATATTAAACAGGTAAACAAGTGTTTTACCAGGAAAGTTACCTTTACAATTTATTATGTACAATTTATACATGTAGCTAATTATTGCAAATAATTATTATTATAAGTTATTTCCAATTTTCTGTCCCCTGACTCTATTTTCACGAAACGTCAAATATCAAACGTGTTGCGCAACAGTAACAAATTGTATATTCATAAATAAGAAAACAAAAAAATTAATTTGCAATATATAGTAACAAGTTTTTAGTTGTAGCAGCGTTTCTGACGTCTTTAAGACGATATTTAAATGTTTGCAAACTTTGGGTGCGCCAATGTGGTGTTATCATTGTAAATTTCTTGTTAATTAACCAACTATAATAATTGTAGGCCCAACATTGGAACGTTCTACAATCCGACCGTTCTACCACAGTCTGTTATGTTAAACGTATTCTACAGTCACTTATGTTGAAAAATGTCTGTAATTTAGCAACCAAAAAAATAAAGAATTCACGAATATTTAAACAAACTGACGACTTTCTTAATCTCTATCTAAATAAATGTAGTTTAATGTCGAAATAGTGATTGTTCTATTATCCGAACACTGATATCTCTTTTAGTTCGGATACAGGAGACTCCACTGTATCACCGATGAAATGTATATGATAAAACGCATTGTTGAAACTGTGTGACGACTTCGCAACATCTGAAAGCATCATACGTAAATTAAGAGTCAGGAAAGTATACTCGAACACTTCGATATTCCCTTGAGAAGTATAGACCGACACGAGGTCGTTTAAGTCTCGATGCACACGCTCTTTAGAGAATGTTTATAGGTCATCGTATGAGACATGATGTGGACGCATATCAATGGATGGAACTTAAAAAGCCCAGGCTACAGCCCCAGGCGAGCTACAGATATAGCCACGAAAGTGAGCAGTATAGATTTCAGGAGAGCGATGGTGCTCCCATAAAATATTCAGGAAAATTGATTACGGCGACGACAGCAGCGCAGCAGCAGCAACAGGACGGCGAGAATATTGTAGTCAAATCAATCGGTGATTACTAGAAAAAAACCTTCTGAACGGCTTATTGGAATATTTATTGCAATTATGTCGTTTACCAAGATTAATTAGAAATCATTCTTAAATTCCTGCAACGCCATGTAACTTTGAAGTCCGATACTCATGTGTCTGTACTTTTCAAATCTGGTTCCATTTCGCGCCACAAGGTGGCGTAGCATCTTATTATTGTACTACTCCTTCAAAATTCAAGGAGTATGTATATAATAATATTAATATTGAATAATAACAATGATAATAATAATAAAATGAAAACAGGACGTAGTTCCGAAAAGATTCACCCTCAAATTTTCGTGAAACTTGGTAAAATCGTCCTAAATACTCCCAAATGAACCCAGATAGCACATTGCGCCTAATGACGCCTCGAAGACGACTTAACGGCGCTTTAGACCTAAAATAGCCATAAAATGGGCATCTTTAAGGCGTCATGTACTATCTGGGAACATATGTAAACGGTTTTTTGGCGCAATTGAAAATTAACTGTTATGTTAATTATGTATTGTGCAATAAGATTTTTTAAAATATTATTATTTAATGTCCTACGAATCGATCGATTTAAGAAACCAAATTTTATAGGATTCATATGATTTAGAAGGTGAAAAATTATGTAAAGTTTGCAAAAAGTATATATATACTTTTTATATTGTTTCTTTTTATGCATCTGATTTGCTCATTATACAAATAAAACATCTTAATAATCAGTTACTATTTGCAGTTTTTACTTAAGATAAACAGACCATAAGTTCTATAATTATCTATTTAGATAATTAGCTATTTAGACTTATTCTAAATATCTTATTATGTAATGACGTTCCCGGGCCGCACCATGACACTTGCCCGTTAATTTCACAATATTTCCGGCAATAAATGAATTAGGAGATTTTAGAAGCATACGAAACTTTTTTATTGTGTACACGTGTAGGAAAAATAATACAAAACATTAAACTGTCGTTCGTTATCAAAAGTTTTGCCAATTCATATATGCGTATTGCCAATTATTCGTAAAAATACACCTAACGGATAAACACTATATTGCCTGGTAGATGTAATCTATTGATTGTTTGCTTTTTAACAATGAAAAAATTAACACTTCATTGCACATGTCGATTGCTTTTTTGTCCGTTCCGCAACTATTCAATTATGCTTTTTTCTTTGTAATATAAAAAAGAGTTTATGTAAGCAAACTTCAATTTTAATAATTTATGCGTATATATACACTTTATGTAATCACTAGTGTAAATCATACCAGCAACATGTACGTAGAATGTCCCACTGGTTTCCATGCAAACATTTAAAGTGTGTTCAACACCAAAAACTGCGAGAATTATGTCATAGAAATATAGGTCCATAGATGCTTTGTTTACTTGTCGTAATAAAAATATAATATATGGAAGAAACAATGATGGCTTTATTTTAGGGCAGATTTAAAGTGTCAATTACCAATTCTGAAAAGAGATGAGTTTTTCAATGAAGTGAAAATAATCTCTAACTCTCGAGTACCAGCCAATCCAACCAGCCAATCTTTGCAACACTAATTTTCTAATAAAACATATATGGACCTATGTTTCCACGACATATTTCTCTTATTCTTAAGCAAACAACACACAAATCAAATTTGTATGGAAACCTCTAAGACACACTGTGTATACACAGTTATGAGTAAAAGTTATATGATATCAGACAGTGCATAATATGCCACTAATTTTATGCACTTTTGTACATCGATGCATCAGAAAAATGCAACTGCATTTTTTTAAAATTGGAAACCTATGTTTTTGACTACACCAATCGATGCAGTTTCTTGTGCTCTACATAAAAGTACGAACATACTTATGCCCTAAACTTATTCGTTGGGAAGTTTCATGTTTACAAACATTGTAATGGAACATAACGTAGGTACTCCGGAACACTTGCCGAGAGACCGAAATAATTCAGAGAGCTTTTAGCTTCGATAACTTCTTAACGAATAAATTTAGGGCATAAGTATTTTTATGTAGAGCACAAGAAACTGCATCGACTGGTGCAGTCAAAAACATAGGTTTCCATTTTTAAAAAAAGTGCAGTTGTATTTTTCTGATGCACCGATGCACAAATGTGCATAAAATTAGTTGCATATTATGCACCGTCTGATACCATTTAACTTTTATTTATAACATCCTATTCTATTCTCAACCGTTTAGGAGGTACAGCCTGTTCCAGTTGCGTGGGACACCCTGTATGTAGTATATATATATAATATATATATATATATATATATATATCAGACGGATAGTAATACTTATTTATACATGTTATTTATCAGTATGTGTATATTCACACGCATATACAATTTTACGAAGGAGCTGTGCTATTTTGCGGAATAAAAAAATTGTTAACTAGATATTTTATTTCGTAATTTCAACATGAAAATAAAGTAAAAAATAAAACAAAGTAGAATCAGTTTTACACGTGTTCAAAATATGTTTAAATATATTTTGACAGAAAAAAAAGAACAAAAAGGAACGAAGCTACTGAAAAATATGATATTCATATTGTAGTATAATATAATGTGGATTAATTTTGCGATAGTAACAAGATAATAAATTTTAAATTTACATTTCTCTTTGATATACTACAACAAGAACAATCATATTTCGTTGCCTTCATGTTCATTTATACCAATGACTTGAAGCGATACATAATATGTACAATACCATAAACGTGTGAAAAATAAAGAAATAATGTCACAATATATTGCAATGAATTAGATTAATCCTATTGAAATCTATATTGGAAGGATTGTAAAATTCAGATTCTAACACGCGTCATAAATTATAATATGAAACCTTGAGAATGAGAACGAATGTAAGCCGAAATAACTGAGAGAATTTCGTATTTCATAGACTGAATATCAGACCTGTAAAGTTACATCATTTTTATTCTCTGGGTTTCAAATACAAAGCGGGTAAATAGATTTACGATCTTCTTGTCGTGATTTCAATTAAAAGGTCAATTTAGAATTTTCACCCTATACGTTACTTAGTAAATGTCAACTCGTCGTTAGAACACTTCTAATATTTATGTATATAAGGACTCTGCAACACCACGGTACATGATTCTACACAAAATTATTTATTATCAACAATGATCGATGTCGATTAATTTTACTATCTATGCTAGACCAAAGTGCAAATGACCAGCTCATTTACAATAATCGGATTTTAAATTTCAAAAGTAATAGAAATTAAGGTACAAATGTGTGTATATTCTTATGCTTTCAATTTAATGTCGATTAGTGGTAAAAGGCGTTAAACCCCTGAGAACCATGTTGTCAAGAACACCGCTTATGTAAGCATCCACATCCACTGTATCGTCTTCTGCTTTTCTGATAAAGGGATGTTCCAACAATTTGTTATACTTCGGCCGTTGTGTCTCTTCTTTAATTAAACTTTAAGGAAAAAATCGGATAAGTGGGCATTATCTAGTTGAACGCAACGATTTATAAGAATTCGTAAGTGTTGGATATCAAATTAATTTACCATGTATTCACAAAGTTCACAAAATCCATAGTAAAATGATTTCCATTTTCATTGGGCGATAACCGCGGTGGATCACCTTGAACCACTTGATAAAGCTGCTCGAACACTGAATTCCACTTGGGATATGGGAAATAACCTGTAGCAACTTCCATTAATGTTATTCCCAATGACCATACGTCGCTTCTCACATCATAGCCCCTGGCACGCTGAGGATCTATCCTTTCCGGCTAAAATATCACCATAACATTAACTTCGTCAACGTATCCATGAAATATTCTTAATGCCTTCCATTTAATTTGTTACTTTACATACAGCCATGTACGGTCTGCATCCAGCGTCTCGAGTGCGTGCAATAGAATCTACTAACTGTCCTGATATACCAAAGTCGCACAGTTTTATATTACCATGTCGGTCTAATAAGATATTGCTAGGTTTCACATCCCTATGAATTATTCTCAACTTTTCCTTGAGGTAATTCAACGCTTTCACTGTAGCGACAGTAATTTTTCCTAAAATACGTTCTGGTATTCTATCCTTCAATACCTCATGGATAAACTTATAAAGTATATCCAACGAAGTGTCCATCAGTTCCATGCAAATCCAACAATCACCCTAAACGAAATGAAACAAAATTTTATTAAACAGAGGAAACATAAAATCCTGTATTAAGAACTATTATTTATGTAAAATTTCAATAAACGTTCAGGGTCGACAATGGAGTACCAATAATTATTATTATATGAGTACTTATGGACTTACTTCTTTAAATAAGGCTCCGTAAAACTGCACGATGCATGGACATTCATTAGATTTCATTACAACTTCTAAATCCATTAGTAGTTGCTTCTGTTCCCTTTCATCCACCGTAGAACGAATTCTCTATAAAAAGGAATTTCAAATTGTGAACGTTATGGTGACTTTTTTATAATAATGAAATTAAATTATATACCTTCACAGCCATAACAGTGTTACTTATCCTATGAATCATTTTATTTACAGTGCCAAAACCACCACGTCCTATTTCTCCTAAATCTTGAAGATCTTCACTCGTGAAATCATATATCACATTTGGTTTTAGCTGCAATTTTCCAGTACTTTGCATGGACTGACACATTCGTAACTTATCCCTACGATTATATTGCAATCTTTCTCGTTATTGTATAAATAAATTACATACATACTTGATTGTTAATCGCGTAATTTAAATACCTTGCTTTATCAGGAAGATCTGCTGGCATTGTAGTACGTGGTCTCAGTGGCAGTTTGGGTAAAGCTAAAGGCAAACTCGGACGAAAAGATCTATTGTTAAATGTAATAATAATTTTATCAGAAGACATTATTTCAAAATATAAGTGTGAATTTTCTTGTATCGTTCTTGAATGGATATCTCACATGGGTGGACAAGCTGCTGTAGCTCCAGTTGAATTGGAAAGGGAAGAATTTGTTGAATTGATTAGTGTCATCTCACTTCCTTGTGTTTGAAAACTACATTTCAACTGTCTTCGTTTTTCTGTTATAAAACAAGCAAAACATTATTAAATTATGTATGATATATACAGACTGTTCTAAGTATGTGTTTTAATACATTAATAGGTGATGAGCAAGTTGAAATCGAACAAAATATGTTCTATAATAGCATGTCCAGACTTTTTTCATTTTACAGTAATTTCTCAAGATTATCTGTCGAACTGAGTTCTTTTCTATGAACATAACGAATTTAACAACTAAAGTATAGGAGATACAACAAAATATATTACGCACTTATAAGTTCTATTTCTACTCATTAATGAACCTATGAAATTTCAAAACTCTATGACTCTTAGCATAGCTTTAACAGCTGAAGACATGTTAAAACTTTAAGGCTGTATTACTGTACACTGAAAGCAAATCAGACATAGGTCTCGTGGAACATTTCTCTACCATTTCAGCTCCCCTTCTACCACCACTTAAAGTACTGAAACATGTACTTGAGGTATACCCTGTATATATTTACATTTATCTTCACCATTTACATCTTAACCTCGAAAAGATTAAAATGTCGATGGTGAAAATAAATGTAAATTTACAATTATAGCTATATTAGCTTTTAAAGCTTCCTAGGAATCACTCGACCAACGATCTGTTAAAAAACTGTGTCAACATTTGCGTTAGCCACTGATACAATATACAAATTTTATTCCTCATTGTTTCTTTATCAATTATGTATCAGTGGCTGAGGGAAAGTTTACACTTAAACATTGAACAGAAAACGACAATATTCAAGCCAATATTATATAGTATAACATTGTCAGTATAACATTGTACCTCATTAATTCAACAGTTAACTATTCGTGAATGTACAACTAGACTAACAAACTGTGAATAATTACACACTCTAATTTTTCCATAATGACGATTAACAATTCCTATTCATTGTGAAAATTCACGTTTGTTCATTGTTTTTTCATGATCATGTTATCGAGGCACAAAGAAAAAATGAACCACTTTTTGACCAGAAAGTTACAAGATGTGCCTTACATCATCCAGATAACAAAATATTATCAGCATCAGAATAAACTTCTCTAGAATTGGTGTTTTATTTTTGACCAAACAATTTTTTACATTTTTCATTACATTGGTTAGTTGTTCAGTATTCACATTTAAACAATTACTTTTAATTGTTTCTTTTAAATCAGTTACCGAAACAACAGGTTGTGAATACACCTTATTACCAGAATACAAGGTATGGGACACTATGTGTGTGTGTGTGTGTGTGTGTGTAAGTACAATGTTAGTAAATACAGTAGTGGTAATGATTTAATGCTAACATAGTAATTGTGTAAAAAGTGAAATATCTCGTAAAATGTTCCATGTATGCATAATGCAAAATGTTCTGTCAATGCATAAATGACCTTACCTGATACCTTTTACATGCAGAATGACACGAGGGATCAATTTATGCAAAAAAAATCGTAGCGTTCCATTTAAAGAAAAATGCAATTGCAGTTTGCAAGTGCACCCATGTATGCGTGAAAAGAATAATAGTTGTATGATAGAGCTTGTTAAACAATGCAAAATTTTCCTCTACGATTTTTTTCTAACTTCCCTTGGAACAGAGCTATAGCCCAGCCCAGTTATTAGAATCACCCTGTATATGACATTCAAAGCAACAGTGGTTAGAATATTTCTATTACTTATTTCTGATATACTGAGAACCAAGTATGTACATTTATATACATTAAATTTCTTTGCTTATTGAGAATTTAAAAACTAGCATTAAAACATATTAAATGAAGCTGCTATTATGTTCTAATATAACTGTAATCCTATAAATATAGAAAAGAAATATGAGAAAGTATACTTTCTAAAATATTATTTCACAATACAAAACATTTTTCTTAACATAATCAAATAATCAAGTACTCTATGTTACTGTATATTAGCTTTGTTCAAAATTATAAAAGTATATAAAATATATCATTCTGATCTGAGAAAAGGTAAATTTTCCAAAGTTCAACTAGGATTTCCTGTTAAAAATTTTAAATATTAGAATGTATCTGTAAATATATATACTTCTTATATGACTGTACATAAACATACATATTAAACTAAACCTCAGGTGGATGTATTTAGTAAAATTAAATTATAAACTGAAAAATAATAAAAGACCATTTTCTGTATTCTTGAGGGAACAATTAAGAAAGCTAAATGATATCATGACACACATATATGCATATATATACAACTGTCTATGAGTACATAGTCTAATTACATGCATGCATATATTATACCTGACATATCGTTTTGAACGTCATTGATAGGTCCAAACTCCATACGTAGAGAACTAAATGATCTGCTGGAACCTGAAAATGAAAAATAAGATTCTGAAAATTACAAGGTTATTAGAAACATTGCTTTGTACAAATTATAAGCCATATATGTACATATATAGATATATATATATACATGTGTGTGTGTGTGTGTGTGTGTGTGTGTGTGTGTGTGTGTGTGTGTGTGTGTGTGTGTGTGTGTGTGTGTGTGTGTGTGTGTGTGTGTGTGTGTGTGTGTGTGTGTGTGTGTGTGTGTGTGTGTGTGTGTGTGTGTGTGTGTGTGTGTGTGTGTGTGTGTGTGTGTGTGTGTGTGTGTGTGTGTGTGTGTGTGTGTGTGTGTGTGTGTGTGTGTGTGTGTGTGTGTGTGTGTGTGTGTGTGTGTGTGTGTGTGTGTGTTTGTGTGTATATACACAATGCAATTATATGATTTCCTATCAATAAAATAATATTTAGGTTATGTAGCTAGATGCACCATTATATTTACTGTAAACATTTATAGTTTTGTGACTTACTTTGATTAGTTGGAATTGAAAAATTTCCACGGTTATCAGTCATTTTCAAGATTCTCAATAGCTAACTAATAAACGAAGAACCACTTATTAAAGGCACTCCTCTCTTAGGAGACCTTTCTGCAAGATATTAACAATGTAGTATACGTGTTTTGCTGCAAGCGCACCATTTGTGCAATTTTATTTTTTGATGAACAAGACACACGAATATCCTATTTTATTGTTACTTCTAAACACTTGTATTTAATGGTCACTCAATTTTCTACCATAAAAATCAAAGTGCACGTCACCACAAACTTGTCGTGATCAGTAACAATCAGTAATATAGTTGACAGCTGCATCGGCGTGTGCGCGTACAACGAAGCGTAATCGCCGAACAAAATAGTGTTCACCCACGAACAAACTCTGCTTCAGCTAGGGGAAAAATCGGCGTAAGAATAAGGGCCTCCTACCACTTGGTATTCGGAAATTACTGAAATTTATGCCAAATTAACGTTCGATTTAACATTTGTTTCAGTACTTAAAGTAAATTTACCAAGTGGTAGTGTTACATCCAAATTTGGGGAAAATATAAATCAAAGAGCTGGGTTGGTGCCCGTGAAGCGATAATCCGCTCTGCTCGTTATTATTTCCAATTTGTAAAGGATAACTTTTTCTTATAAACTTCAACTTATTGTTTTTATTAATATAAATTTAAACGATAACAAATAACTCAATTTAAATGAAATACAATTTCATTTAACACAAAATGAACAATGCAAATATTTGAAGCTTTTAAATACAGGTTTACAATTATATGCCAGAATCAGGTTCTTAATTGAATAACGTTTTAATTTCCTATTAGTTTTTATACATGATGGTTTTTCTGTTTTCTTTAACAAATTTTTATGAATAAAATCTTTAATAACTAATGTGATTGGACAATTTTATCTTTCACACGAGCGTTTCACCTATTCTATGAACAATTCCTTAACAACTAACTAATAAACATTATATTTTGATACTTAATCAATTAATTTTAAGAGTTGAATTAGCGCCTTTAAAAGAACATACAGTATACATATATAATATAGATGGCATTCTAAATCAAATGAACGATACAGGCGAATACGCAACAATAGGAAGTCTTTCTGCCCTAGCAGAAGCAGAGTTTGCCTTCTGCCCCCCAGAAGACACTATGCGAAACTATACTCTCATCTATGTCACGATGTTCTATGATATAAATCGCAGCGAGAAAAATCTTGAAATTTCTTTACTGTTATTCCAAAAATGCACGCTCTATCGCTGTTTGTATTTTATGGACATTTATTTCTTAATATTTTATGCACAGCAGAAATTCTGCTGCAGAATCAGTTTAGGTTTTAGACTTTCTTTGGGTTTTAAATTTTAACAGAATTCTGTAATAGGCGGGTTGAACCGGGTAAGCCCCAATGCGGGCAAGTCGATTTCGTTTAACTGCTAATATCTCGGAAATGGAGCTTCAGATTGCAAAACGGTGAAGACTTTTCGATTTGTATCTGCATAAGGAATGTCCATGTTGCGGATTGCCCCATCTTTTTGAGACACCCTTATACTCTGTTTAATCCGCCATTGCAGACTTGTATAAGGTTAAATTTCTAGGTTAGGTAATCTCTTGTCCAAAGTAAAATCGACTATAGGGCACAATAGGGAAGCCTAGGGAAGAAACCACATGGTCAAGGATGCTGTTGTACACCCGCGAACAAACTCGCTTCCGTTAGGGAAAAAAGTGGCGTAAGAAAAAAGGTTCCTACCATTTAGCAAAATTTATTTCAGGTACTGAAATAAATGTTAAACCGAATGTTAATTTGGCATAAATTTCAGTAATTGTCAAAACTAAATGGTAGGAGGCCCTTCGCCTACCTCACTTTTTCCCCTAGCGAAAGCCGAGTTTACTCGTTGGTGTACTTTAACAGTTAGTCTTTAACGTGAAGAAAGAAACTTGTTTTGTGTAGACAAAATGATACGAACTTCTATGCATTTACAAAAAGTTAAACTTTATGAACGGTTAATACATCGGTTATCTTTTAATAGTAATATATTTCGACATTGCAGTCAAATAACAGATCAACAAGACATTATTCCGAAAAAGAAATCACAAATATTTCCCGATTATGAAATAATCTATAGTTTTCCAAAAATAAAATATTTGGCCATGTTAAATCTAGCAAAGCGTAATCAAACTATTATGTGTGGGGCATGTATATTACCATGCGTAGGTTTACAATGGATAGGTTTTATTTCACCATCTGGTTGTGAAACAATCCTACTCCTTAGTAAGTTAAAATACTGTACGCAACTCTACTAAATAAGAAATGAAATAGAACAACATAAAGCAGTTTCCTCTAATATTGCATTATACCATTCAAGCTTTATCTAGAAAACAAAGTATTCTATAGTTTACAAATTACTCTATAATCTATACTCTGTAGAATATAGATAAATTCCATAATCATTTCCATAATGAAAAGGGATATATGATTTCCAGGTGGATCAAAACCTACAGTAGATTTATAAAATCTCCTTTATTCCAATTGTAAATAAATATATTTTATTCTGTTCATGAATAAACCTTTGAAAATTAATATCGATACAATATTAAATCAATTCAGTAAATATTTACAGTAAATGGTAACAATATAGTGAAATGGTTGACCCAATAATATTGTAAATAAAGTTTCATTCGAGATATCAGTCAGTAATCTACAATAGTAAAGAATCGACACCTTGTCTTGTACTGTCTAACATATTTTCCTTACAAATTAATTTTTGTTTATATTGCTTTCTAAAGTTTTTGGCATGAATATCCTTAAGTTTTCTGATGAAGTTTTAAGATTTTTGTTTGATCAGACCTGCAAAAAGTACTTTATAGCAGTGTTTCCCAAACTTTTTCAACAATGGAACACTTCACAAATCCTGAAATTTTAATGCAACACCTTGGTTATTTTGCGGAGTAGCTAGATATAAATAATAAATAAAATAAATGAGTAAATCTAAGCGTTAAGAAAAAACAAACATTTATTCTCGGAAGTTAATTGTTTAAAACAAAACACGTAAAAATAATCTTTTACGGAACACTTATTCACTTTCCTTACATAATTTGGAAAACACTGATCTATAGCACTACTGGATTGACTGTCTCGCTATAGTATTACCATCCATTGTATTTAAGAGAGGTACATTAAGGATTGCATGAAAGGCAGTTTTTCATTAAAATATCTTAAACTTATGTAATTTTTTTTATCATGTGTTTTAGGTTGTTGGTTTACCATTTCAATTCATATTGCTACTATACTGTTGACCAATGCTGTTGGATATATATATTTCAATGAAAAGAACCAACAAGTAATAGTATCATATTTAAGTTATTGGGGTAAAAGGATAGATCTAAAAACTGACATCGAGAATATTATACCAATTTCAGAATGTCGTAAGAACGTGTTTTATATGGTATATAGAGTATTGATGATTAAAAATTGTAAACACAATTTGAAACTAACCATACCATACGGACAAACCGTTCAAAAAGAATATATGGCTTATATACTGGGTATTTAAGGGTCATATTTTGTATTGAATACACAGTTATGTTCTCACTTTATATAAATAAATGCTCGTATGAACAATGCCTTAGTTCTTAATATGAATATATTATTTATAAGACTAGTTTTTATATTTATGTCCATCTAAAATGCGCATAAGCCCGATTTGCTTCACACTGTCTATGTAATTCTTGCTTTTTTTTGACGACTCGTCCCTGAAATATAAACCATTGTAAATTATTAAATAATTACTAATATAATATTATCTAGAAAATGAATGTCATGCATTTATATTAGACGTAAATATATAAAGCAAAATAAAATAAATATTTCAATAAAAATTTTATAGGCTTCTGGTTGATTTTGATTAAAGTAGCTGTTAATAAAAGGACTCTGAAAATGTGTATCTAAAAATGAGATACATTTAAGCATTAAGTATAGACCAGGGTTTCCCAAACTGTGTTCCGCTGAACCTGAATAGGTGTTCCGCGACAATTTGGAAAGGTTTTATCATCAAAGTCATTAAGCGCTTTATTTATTCATATTTTTATGTTTATATTATATTATAGTTTTATATTTAAAAATAATTACTAAATAAATAATGTGTTTTAATAACATTTTTTTTTAATTTACTAGTAGGAATTACCCAACCTAAAAAATAAGCTGTGTTCCGTTAAAATTTCCGGGTTTGCGAAGTGTTCCATTGCAGAAAAAGTTTGGGAAACCCGGGAATAGACTAACAAGAAGTGACGCAGATTTGAAAATTTCCTCAGATCTTTTTCTTCTCAAATGTCTCTTAATAAACATTAGTACCTAGCAGAATATATGACTTTATTGTGTCTTTTCTTCAAAAACAATGAATTTCCTATGTATGTATGTATGTACATAAACATATGAAAAACACTTAGGTAGTTGTAATTTCACACTGGTCTAATGTAGGACTAAGGCCTTTCCATTTAGTTATGAGCAGGGTAGTATTTAAATAGAATATTTATATACATACCTTATTACTAGCAGCATCAAGAAGTTCACGTGCTAACACTGTAGGTAATGGTGTTTTAGTTGCTTCTCCTTTTGCACTTCGAATTAACCAATTCATTGACAAAAAACTAGCTCTTGTATCAGTCACTGGTACTGGAACCTATAAACGATAAAAAAAATTCCTTATGTCGTTAAGAATTTTTTTTTATTTGTATGAATTTAAATGAAAGTATGTTCTTACCTGATAAGTAATTCCACCCTTTTTAATCTTTTTCAATTGCAAAATTGGAGTACAATTCTGTATGGCGCGTTCCAAAATTACTTTTGGATTCAATTCAATATATTGTTTTTGTTCAGGTGATGACTTATTATAATGTTCTAATTGCATTACTTTAATATTTTCAAATGTTTTTTCCAGTAATGATCTAGCTAATACTTTTCTACCATCACGCATTATATAGTTCATGAATTTCCTGATAAATACGAATAATAAATACTGAACTATTGAGGTTTTTCGTTTAATTAAAAGTTAAATTGTATACCTAGCAAGTACATCATGAAATTCAGACGATGTATCAGAGGTAAAGGCTGATTTAATAGGCATATGAGCTAATGTAATTCCTTCTTCACTTTGAAGTACTTTTTCTTGTTCATCTTTTTTAAAAATTGGATTTCTATAAGAACTTGGAAACATACTGTACTGCTGGATGATGTTTATTGGTATACATCTAAAAAATGTATAATATTATATTATTCATTATTAGTTAATCTTTCATACTCAAAGAATTTTTTTAGTGTAAATGACTATATACTTCCAGATATTTTTATTATGCCAGTAAACTATTGTTTTTCTACCAAAGATTTATAAATATTTATAATTTAGCTTTTACTCAATGAATCAGTGAATACCACTCTTGTTCAAAAATGTCCTTGTAGTTATTAAATTCCCTTCTTTATTCCCTATTTTTAATTGCTATGAAACCCGTTTATTCAATTGAATTAAAATATTTGATAGTTGTAGCGTTTCTCTTTAAATTTTAAGGTTCAACATTTATTACACTCATTGATTCTTTAATACTATTTAATAAAATTATTCACGGAACACTTACAAGCATTAGCAATACATAAATCATTAAAAGAAATCACTAGCTACGAAGATTTATGCATTTATAACATCTGCTAACCTGCAACAGGTAGTGCAGTAAAGTTTTAACAAAATATAATAATATCTACGTACTGTCATTACCACATTCAGACCCCTAACACGGCAAATTAAATTCTGCATAATTCTAGTTTTTACATACTGAGACCACAACTTGTGAATTTGCATAAACATTCGTACTATAATAATCAGATATCGCAATTTAAGGTTATATGGAGAAACTTATATTAAAGAGTGTACAAAAGAATTTATGAGATAAACTGGTATAGGCTTACAATGTTAAAAGGTACGTATATTTTATAAAATTACCAAGATTACCTTTTCACATTGTGCAAAAGTAATACGTTAAATGGTTTTACAAGGGCCATTTCTGTATACAGTTCATTCACTTCAATTGACTTCAATACACTTTACCACATTTTACTATACTATGTAATAAAATCCGTCAAAACAACTATGGCGGAGAGCTGTCACGTGATCACTGATCTGTACATACTGGATACGGTATGGGCATACATACATACAGAGATGGGCAAACTAATTATCTAGACTCTACACAAAAAGTTTCGAATAACGAATAAAAGATAAAAAAAGTATTTCGTCCTTTATAATTGTTTAAACATGGAAATTGGAATTTTTATAATAAAATAATACTTCTTTATGAATGAATCGACATTTGTCGAACAATTATTTAACCCTATATGAGCCGAATTTTTTTCAGGACTATACATTTAAAATACAGATTAATAATGAACCCAACATGTCTTTTTCAGCAATTGTTTGTTTTATAATGTTATTGGTTAGTAAGAAGATATTATATAACAAGATGTATACGCCACCTTATGACAAGAGTTAAATTATTTAATAAAATATCGATACATTAGTATGTGATTTGAAAGTTACACGGACCCATAGAGGGTTAATCTCATTTACTGTTTAAATCTCAGAACGACACCTGCTGCTTTTCACTGTGTATTATTCGAATAAAATTCTGCCCAACTCTGCATACATACATGTATATGGACATAGTAGTGTCCGACGGACACATTTTCACATTAATTTACATACGGAATCAAAAGTATTGGGTTGTTAAGTGTTAAATATGTATTACACCTCTTCTGTGGTTTTAATCAGGTCTTTCATAGATTCAACGTTAAACATTCAATAAGAAGAGACGTGCAAATGTTTAGCACCATTTAATATGCGTACGGTTGAGTCAACAAGTTTCATTGAAAACATAATTTGTGATTATTATAATCTATCAGAAAGTGATAAAATAAACATGGCAACCACCAGTGAACAGTCGCTTTCCACTTCGTCGATATGTGGCAGACATCGTCCTCTTGGAAGTCAAGCGAGAGAAATTGTATACAATGTATACGCATATTTGGCAGAAAACAAGAAAAAGTTCCTTTTAGAGTACAATGTTCTCGAATCCACATCAGACGCCACTGGTGTTTCGCGCTCGACTATAAATAGAATTGTACGAGAAAGGAAAAAATCTATTACTGACGAAGATTCCACTTTTCCATTTGCTCCGAAAAAGCGAGGTGGTCAAAATAAAATTGAATTTAGTCCCTTTGCTGAAGGAGCTATACGGAGAAAAATACACGAATTTTATCTTGTTAGAAAAGAGTATCCATCTTTAACAAATCTATTGAACGCTCTACGTGAAGATGGTACACTAACTTGCAGTAGAGAATCTCTTCGCTTAAAAATAAGAGATCTTGGATTTGAATGGAATGCAAACGATCAGTCCAATAGGAAACTGTTAACTGAAAAGCCAGATATAGTGTCTTGGAGACTAAAATATTTGCAAGCCATAAAGAAATTCAGACAAAGCAATCAAATTATTGTGTATCTTGGTACAACTGACTGGCATACATTGAGTATTACAACTAAATGCTGGCAATCGCCTGAAGAGATCTCCAGAGGCAAGAAGGTTATTATTGTTCGTGGTGGAGGAGAAATGGGATTTATTCTTAATAGCTTATTATTGTTTAAGTCAAAAACACCAAAACAGGATGAACACAGCAATATAAACGGCACTACTTTTATGAAGTGGGTTAGAGAGCTTGTAATACCCAATTTGCCACAGACTTCTGTGGTCATTGTAGATAACACACCATATCATTGTTTCAATGAAAACATTAAATCAACAGTTATGCAGAACATTAAAGTGTACCCAGCATCAAAGGAATCTGCTTTTGATAAACTTCTACAAAGCCATGGTCATGAAGTATTAAGGCTTCCACCATATCATGTGGACCTTAATCCAATAGAATTGGTCTGGTGGGATATTAAAAATAAGGTTGACAAAGAATGTTTATCTACCAAGTTAAAAGAGAACAAAGACTTTCTTTTGAATAGTTTTTATCAAATTGCTGTTGAAAAGTGGAAATCTTATTGTACGCATGTACAGAAAATAGAAGATGAATATTTACATCACAATGAACTGATGGAAGGTAGAATGGATATTCTTATTGCACAAGTAGAAGACAGCGCATCGTTCGATGAAAGTTCAGAGGATGATTGAGAGTGATTTTTAGAAATTATAAAATTTATAGCCCTTGTATATAAGGTGTACAAAAAAAGGTGAATATCGCATATGATATACAGCAATTCACTATGTTGAATATAAAGCCCTCGGGAAGCAAGCCAAGAACTTTGTCACTCTTGAAGTGGAAATGATTGTAAAATGTAAGTAACTAGTTTGTTTTTAAATGTTGTGTACAATATGAAAACAAGGAATTATCTTTAAATTCCTTTTCCTGGTTTGAATAAAGGTGTACTTTTTTTTGTTTGCATACATGCTTTATACTATATGAATATTTTATACATATAAGCAAATCCAAAATATTTTTCAAATAATTCAGTAATGAGCAGAACGTTTAAAAAATGCTAGTGGCAACGTAAAACAAAGATTTGCAGTATTCATGTTCATAGATTATCTTATTACAAGAGTCAAAGATAATCTTATCTTCGTAGATAATCCTTTGCTTTCACATAGCATACAACAATGATTAGATTCAGAAATAAGTAAGCCACTTACATAGCTTAGCTTAGTAAACACTACCTACCACAAAAATCCTAAATTTTTTTGTTTGAACACTGTATGAATACATATGTATATAGAAACGAGAATAACCTTAGTGAGGTTATAATGTCATAAAATTTTTTTAGACACTGTAAGTAATAAGAAAAGTATATGATAACCGAACAATAAAATTAGACATTGAAACATTCCACTTTTAAATACACATGGATATTTGATGATAATGATGTCATGACACAGGAAAGACAACGGGGACAAATATGTATGAGTTTCTACTGCAGTTTCAGCCTAGTAAACATCCTCATGTTTATATAACATTATTATACAATGTACACATCATTTGCATATGAAATTTGATTTATATTAGTGAACCAAATATTACATGGTCACCTTGTGAGATTAGAATAGGAATTTGTGATCTGTTTACTTTGTTCTTCCTTTCCTTCTATTTACATGTGTACACATGACAATATTTAGTTATTTATATGTTTGTACATACATGTACATATATATAATATATTTTTGTACACACATTATTACTCAAAAGTATCAAATTGTATGTTTGTAACGGTAAAAAGAATATAGTTATTTATTACAAGAATGTATGAATTTATAGACTCAAGTTGGGAAACTTTATATACAACAAGAAAGAAATGTATATGATAAAAGTAAAAATGAATCAATAGTATTTGTCTTTTTATTGAAGAAACCACATATATTGTTTCTCATTAATCGTACATATAGACAGTAATTAAATACTTTTGAGCGGTAGTATATATCAATTGTGTTTATACTTACAAGGTTTTCCTAGATCTGTAATATTGAGCTGGAGTATATCTCATATTACATTAAATATTCATCTTTATACAGAGAGATAAAATATATGAAACCGTGTATTGTCAGTATTCTGACATAAATGGTCATTAATTATAGTGAACACCATGTAAAATGTGAAACTCAGATACTGGGACAAATGTGATATGCCTTACAATCAGTAATACTGATAAACACATATTTATTCAAAGTAAACTTCTAATTATCTGTCCTTGTAAAATCTATTTCCATTTCTGGTGTAACTTTTTAAATAAATAATGAAGGATAGTATACTAACTGTATAAATCATAAATAAATTATATTTATTCAGATTCATTACGAATGATAAATGAAGTTATACATTTATGCACAAAATTTTAACTAAGTACAAATACACTATTTTAATAATTATCATATACAGAAGTTACATTTGCAATATCTGTCAATATTATTTACAAATTCACCGAAATCAGTCTTATTGTTACTAGTTCCGACATACGAAACTAACTCCTTAGACTTAGACATTCGTCTATATACTCCACTTTTACGTCCCAGAAGACATTTCGTGAAACAGCATTCCCAGCTCTGCTACAGTGATCTGTGGAGCGGATCGTAGTGTCAGATGTGTGATTTGTCAGTAATAAACTCACCTGAATTAAAAAATTTCAATCTAGAAAAATTCCTTGTACGTTTATAATTCAACATAATTTGATCGCTCCATTATAATTCAAACAACAAAAAGTCTTTGATGATAACAATAGATGGAGGGAATACAATTATGGTCACGGAAACGTGAAAATAATATAAAAGAAATGTCTATAAGATACAAATAAATAGTTTTGTGAAGTACCTTTTTCAAAACATACGTATTTCGTGATTATCGTTACTACAAATCCAGGTCTTTCATAAATAATTATAGTTATTCTTTTGAAAAGTAATAATTTAATTATAATGAAGTATCAAAAAAGTGGTGAGTGGCCAATTCATTTCAACTTTTCATTTATAATCTACTACTTTTTTTTTTTTAAATGCATATTCACTCCAGTTAAGGATGTGACGAAATCAAACACAATGGCGGCGTGTTCCGTTACGTGTGTCAGATAGGAGCGTATTTGCTTGCAATAAGTCCAAGTATGAAGCTTGCCTACTCTATTATTCTAAGAAAAACACCGCACTTACTAAAGCCCTGTACCTTAAAAGGACAAAACATTTTACTGTATTACTCTCTTCTATTAATTACTAGCATAATTATCAAGTGAAGTTTGTAAAAGGCTGATGTTGAGTAAGACTGAGTAGGTTGTCTTTTGCAATGAATATTTTAATGACATGATACGTTTCTGCAAAAGTCACGTGTTTTTGTTGTGTTTTGCTCCATTTTTAACTGGAATGAATAATAGTGTCCTTTCCAGGGATAACCATTTTAAATGAGCTCTGACGCTCCTACTGGAAGCAAAATGGACCAATAGGATGAAATCACACGATAAACCAAGCTGCCATTATTATTTTGACACGAATTGATACGAGACAATATTGTTACTTCGAATGAACAGTGTATGTATTAAAACTTTAACAATAAGCTCGTACTTTATGTATGATGAATTAATTTTTAGTGTTCATTTCGATTATTATATGGCATTTTTAAATGACGCGGTAAATTGTTAGGTATACGAGAATTAGGTATTCCAATATTTCTCATCTATTAATTATACATTGTACAAATTCAGTGTATAAATTTTATCGAATTTGAAAATATTTAATTGTAAAGAATTCCATTTGAACTGTAAACAAAGGTATTCCAGTTTATAAAGATATTGAAATTTGTGTATCGTATTATGAAAATAAGTTGTTTTCGTAATAAAATCACATATATGTTATGATATTTTTTTGGGGTTATAAAATGTGAATATTTATTTTCTCCTTTCTAGTGCAAATTGTTGGTAATAAAATGGACCCAGTAACTAATGTGCTTGGTATTGATAAAGTAGATATGGGCGGAAAATTCATTTTAATCGAGGAACGACCTAACAGCAACGCACATTTTGTGTTAAATTCAATTATTATCAATGCGTTAAATAAAAATTACGGAATTTGTTTTGTACTTTTTCATAGTACCTTTAATCATTATCATAACGTGGGTATGAAATTTGGTTATAATCTTACAATGTTAAGAGCAGAAGGTAAGGTTAATCTTATAGAACCAATGAAAATTATTGCATCGAATATTCAATGCACAGTCGATGAAGAAACACACAAACTACAAGAAGCTGATACTAAAGTAACACCTAATATCAGTAGCATCATAAATGATAGCTTGTGTAGGACTATAAGAAATGGATACTATGAAATGACAAAAAATAACCATGTGGTTATTGTAATTGATGATTTGAGTCACCTTTACAATTTAGGATTCACTTTAAGAGACTCTATGTATTGCCTAAGATACATAAGATCGCTCATTGAACACGACAATACATCCCAATTGTGTATTGTAATACATACGTATGAACGTGAACTGCAGAGTTGCATTGCGAATGTAGCTGCAGATACTTTAAAACATATGGCTCATTTATTTGTTATAATTGATTCCCTTGAAACAGGATATTCTAGCGATATGTCTGGAAAAATAACAATTAATTGGAGAATAGATTGCATCCGAAGAACACACAATTGGTCAGAGATATCAAAATACCTGTATAAGTTGTCAGATCGACAAGTAAAAATTTACACATCTGGTCATTAGTTATGTTACTGTACAATAATTACCATAAATTAATTGTGATTATATTTATTACGTACGTTTGCATACTAAACCATAAATAAAATACCTTTTTAAGTAATTATAAAAAAACAGATACATTCATGTTTATATCCTTATGTCTCTTACAAGTGACATCACCCAATTGATACGCGCGATTCTAATGAAAATTGGCAGACAGGTAGGAAAGCAAGAAATATTAAACATATAAATATTGTAGCTACTCCTGTTCACGTTTAAGAGGTGAAAAAAGCCCAGAAAATGGGGGCTGGATAAATTATTTTTTTTCAATATCTTGAAATCTAACGGAGATAGAAAACATAGGAAATCGAAAAGTTGTACCAGAAAATAGTTGGCGCCGAATGTTAACGTATCTTAACAATTTATATCTCAAAAAATTGCTCCCAATTTTTTTTCGAATCTGAAATTGTTCCCACAGCACCGTTTATAGTTAATGAGATATTCGCAAAAATTTGTTGTTTACAAAATACGTAGTAAATGGCCTTTTTACACAAATATTATGACACCAAAAAATTGCTCCTGATTTGTTTTATAATAATCAATAGTCAGATATCTCATTCACAACTTATTAACGAGAAGCAAACGAAATATTGTTGTTGCATAGAACTTAGGTATTATTACCGACTAGGTATAGAATAGACCCGTCATCCAATGCTTTTTTCTGTCCCACGTTCATAGGGCTACGTAGCCCTGTTACCATTTTAGTGTCAATACCTGACGTTACCGATAAAGCATGAATTTTGAGTATTATTAGCACAAATGAAATGTTATATATTCCATTCATATTACGTGTATCTATATGATTTCACGAGAATAAAAATATCCGATGCTTCAGTTTAAGGTTAAGGGATAAATATGACAGTCATGAAACATGAAACGGAAAAGTATATATTTTTTCACTTAACTACAAGACAATTTATTCTAAATGCATCGTTAATGGACATTTTACTAATGTTACTTTTTACATGTTCTTGTTTTATTCGTTTTTATATCTTGCTTTACATTTGTATATTTGTAACAGATAAATTCAGAATAGATGTAGTTTCATAAATAATTTATTAAATCTACCTTTTGAATGCCTTACCGTAATGGGGTACCGTAATTGGGTCGTTCAAGGAGGAAGGTCGTTCAGGTCGGCAAAAACAATTCAACACGAACAAACCTGCGTACGCCCAATACATAACGGCGTTAGCTTCCTCACTTTCTCGTGAGCCGTCGCGGAGGGTGGGCGTGCGTCTCATACTCGTCCTTTCTCTTGTTACTAACCCATTGTTTGTTGCAGGCATTCGACAACCATCAATTTATTTACTGTGCATATTGTTGTGTCCCCTCTCTTGTTACTAATCCCTTGTATGTTACAGATGTTCGAGAACCATTGGCTTCGATATTTATCTTCTTATGTACTGTGATTCATTTACTGTGATTTATTTACTGTGCATATTATTAATTTATTTATTGTGCATATTGTTGTGTCCCCTCTCTTGTTACTAATCCTTTGTATGTTACAGATGTTCGAGAACCATTGACTTTGATATTTATTTTCTTATGTACTGTGATTCATTTACTGTGATTTATTTACTGTGCATATTATATATTTTATGTGTATTGTATAATGAAAAATATTTTTCCAATCAGTTATTTCATCGAAAGAAGACATCGATCAACGTCTACATCTTCAAAGCGTGCGTCTACCACTGCGTTAAGTTACTGTAAGTTAAACTTAAATCATAATTCGATATTCATTGTTATATTTGTTAGAAATAATTTGAACGAGACACGTGCTTTCAGTTTGCTTTATTTTCCAACTCTATCTGCTTTGTCTCTTTTGCCCGTATTTATGTTCTGTTCGCACTCCTTCCACTTCCCTTTCATACATCATTCGTCCAATCACTCACACCTTACCTATTACTCGATCTCATTCGTTCTTATTTATTCGGCGCGCATTCCTTCCGCATTCAAACATTCTTTTTCGCCACATATTCATATTCATCATCGCATCGTTTATTATTAATTTTAGTCTATCTATTAATAGACTTAAATTATGACCATCCATTGTGCATACCAAGTTATTATTAATTCATTTTGCTCGTTGATTCTCTACACAGACTTGGGGTACGGGCAGTGGGTCTGTACCTATGGTACGGGCAGTGGGTCTGTACACTAAGACTGTTTGCCGATCCCTCTGGTTTCTATTGAGAAGCCAGATATCGGACGTGTTTAGTCTTTGCCTGGTAAGTAGGATTTGGAGAAAGACTCGTGCGTGCAAGGGTACGGAGTAGTCGGGAGGCTGCTCCATAAACAGAGAATCTCGCTTGCACTACCATGCTTGTGTACTCCTTTGGTTCGGGTCTGGTACGCAGGTGACCAGCCCAAAGCTCCATGGCAGTAAAAGATGGATCCGGGTTAGCGAGGTGTCGCCCGTCTTTCCTATTTTCTTAAACCAGGTTCTGGCGACAACACTTTCATCGCGATACTTGTTCATACTGTAGTTTAACGCGTAGTTCATCGTAGACTTAATAACTGCTTGGTATATAGAATATTAGGTGCGTAAACGAAATGATCGATGGAACTTTTTTCATTCCGTCTATCTCTTTCGTTTGAGTATTAGCGACTACATTGCGTTTAGTTTAAGTTATTTTGTATTAATAGCATTAATTCGTATTAATTACAATATTAAGATAATATTAGTTCTAAGCTGAAGAACGAAGACAACCGACGAGGGAACTTAGTTTTTTATAGGTTTAGGCTCAAGAAAGAAGTCATCCGCCGAGGGATGTTAGTACCGATAGTTTTAGATAGTTAAGATTTAAGTTATTTATAAGGTTTATTGTGAAAGGTAGGAAGATGTAGAACTTGTGATTCCATCTACCTGCCTTGGGCCTCCACTCGCAGCAACCTCCTCGTGGTGAGGCCTGGGCAATCGGTATTATCATCGGTAAAGTATTGTAAACCGAAGATAATATCGAGCTAATGGCTGCGAACTTTAAATCTATCTGATAAAACCCCGTTCAGTGTTACATCGAACTTGGATTATTCTGAGAAACGATATGAGATTGAAAGTTTTGTAAGAATGTCTAGTATTTTCAATCTTTTAATAAAGTACTGTAGATAAAGATACATGAGACTATTGAAAATTACTTTAAATCCCTTTCCTTATTCTGTATATCCTTGAATTAGAAAAGAATAGTTGCTGGAGCAATGAACATTTTGACAGGATACTGGTATAAATGGAACTTTGACAATTTTCTAAGTTTCATTTGTTCGAGGTGGCTGAAATTCTTGAATATTCTTAATACACTAATAATATATGACGCGTCAAAGTATAGATTTTCCGACTTATCTATAAGATAAATTGTTCGAAATGCATGATAAATGGGCATTTTGGTAATGTAACATTACTAATGTTACATTTTATACGTTCCTTTTTTTCGTTTTTATATATTTTTTATCTAATAACGTGATATAAGAATCTTAATACAAAAAATAAATTACCTACTGGCGATTGGTGAATTTTTACACATAACTTTATTTAAACATCATTTATTTACAATAATTTTATTTATTGCGAGAAATTATATAATGAACTTCAACCCAACTAGAGGTCAGTTAACCAAACTTCCACAATATATCCAGGTTTGCATTTTCTTCATTTTCCCCATAAAGGAAAGCCTTTATCTATTATTTCGTTGGTAGTATCTGTCGGATTGTATTTCATAAACTTTGGCGTAATTGTCAAATAATTGACGGGACGTATTTATCACAGATGGTGCTCAGAAAAACATCGTATTCGAAACTTTGACAAAGAGGCAATAAAAATACCACTAGGCATTGTACATCAATGCTTTCCATCCAAAACGAATTGAAATACCAAATTTTCGAAGATAGCCTGGGATATGTACGCGGTTGAATTCATTCATCAGTCGTAACGTACATTGGATTGTAAGTTTTCGAAAAGTGGTTAAACAAAGGCACGAAACATATGGCTCTGACATTGTTTATAACCATTGGAGTGCTGCGAAATGAAATTTCTGAGAAATCGTCCTTGTGCGTCTGTTATTCCGTTTAAGGTGGGTCAGTGCTCGTTGAACTAACCGAAGGTATACGCAAAAAAAAAGGTCGTACGGCGTGTAATATGGTACTGAATATTCTATTTCGTTAAACTAGAAATTGAAGTGGGGCGGGGAGGACAGCTACCCCCACCCACCGAACCTCCAATAACGATGCCCCTAAGATAGCCGAATCAACCCATCGCGAACAGTCAAAGACGGCCTAAGGGTCATTCGTCTCGCACAAGTTGAAGTGATAAGACGGGAAGTGAATTCGCTCCCATCGAAGTGTACGTGATTTTTACTTTCACATCTAATCATTTATACCAACTATTAGTGCCTTCGTTATTTCTTTATCATTACTTTCGTTTAATATTTATTCAATTTCGAGTAAATTATCGTAAATTAATTCGATATTACGGAACAAAGTGATCGGTTTTCACGACTTTCTTTGTCTACGTTGTAGTATTTACGCATTTCTGATTCCACTTACAATCTTTTACGGCACACCTCGAGTACAACAATTATTTATTTGTAACGAAACCATTGGTAATTTAATAATGTAATTGCTTGGTTTAAACGCGTTTATTTTCTGTTTCAGAGCACCGGGTGGAAAGGACGTGCCCCCTGACACCATGGCAGCAGCAACACTCCGGAAAAGTGGTGAAACACGGTAATATGTTGTAACAAATAGGTAATGATCTACTATATATTTTGATTTTATCGTGTTTCTATTATATCACGCTGTAAGCATGATCGCGATTTTTTTATTTATTGTGCAAAGATCGAACGAGAATTTTTCCGGGAAGTATGTACAGTGAATTAAACTGCGCAATTGAAGAATTCAAAATGGCTACCGTGGCCATTAGAAAATTTGAATATTACTTTTAAACATTTAAATTCGAAATATTCGTAATTTCCT